CTTGTTGGCCACTAAGAACTCCTTCAGGGCAGGATTAACTACTTGTGTATCCATTTCATTTAATAAATACTTTTTTTTTTTGACAGGGGTAGGTGAGCTATTTTCTTTAATAACAATACTGAGATGTACCCATCTGATCCAAAGCTCTATGCAATGGGGTTAATTCAATCTGACAAAGGTCTCTGTCATCTAAGAACCCAGCCCTTCAAGTTCATTAGAAACCTTGATTTTAAATGGACAAAAGAAATCAAACCCTCTGGACACTTAGCTTGGGGAAGTAAATTGATCCTTTTGACACATGTCCAATGATGGACTCATATGGGACATAAATGCCAGTTTTCTTTTTTATTTGTGGCAAAGTCCTCTTAGAGACAGGTGGGGGCTGAGTCTGTTTTCTCACTGACCCCTCTTCCTTCTTGTTGTGCCCACAGCCAAGCCCCAGGAAGGGGCTCACTCCTGTGAGCAGCCTGCAAAGTGCCTGCCCTTGGTCACAGCAAAGGAGGGTACTCCAAACAGAGCTAGCTGGCGGCTCGCAGCCAGTGGCATGCTGTTAGGTGGATTCTGAGTCTGGCCTGGACTTTGGTGTTGGCTAGTCCACCACACGGTTTTCTCTTCTGCCCAAAGAATGACAGCCTGGCATGGCACAGGCTTGTTCAGGAGCTGCACCGTGGACATTTGCCATATGAGGAATGGATACCAGTATCCTTAAGCCAGAAGACAGAGACCAAAAATTAGAGAGAAAAGTGAAGACGAGCTCTGCATGCCAGGGGATGGTAAAATCTTGAGCCCCTGAATGCCATCGGGCTGCCCAGGACATGTCATAGCTGCCTTTGTTTGAGCTGTGCTGCTGCTTGCAGGTAGTGTCCCTGCACTGGGTGTCCTTAACAGTTAAAGGAAGCAGCTTCTATCACAGGTGCCAGTGGATAAATTCATGAAAGGCCCAGCAGTGGGTTTGCTGCAGAGACAGCCTGCAGCATTCCCTTGACCTCTGGCAGAGTCTTTGGCCCTGATGGAAGAACACTCAGGGACTAATCAGGCTGGAGTAGAAAAACATGATTCGGGCCTGCTGGACTTTCCGTATTGATCCATAAATCAGTGACTTAAGGCAAGTGTTGCACTATCTGCCAATCTCTGGGGAAGAGAGTGTTCTCTAGGTTCATGTAGGGGCTACCAGAGTACACACAGGTTACCCCAGAGTCTCAGATAGTCTGAGTTTTTAACATCTGCTTGTGGAACCTGGGGAGGAGATGAGTGAGGGGAAGAGGTCAGGGAGCAGAGAAAAAGCAGGTTGAATTAATCCCATTCTGGATTATAATATGGTAACCCAGAAGAACTTGTAAGTTTGGTGATCCAACACAGTAAAAATTAATTTCTCCTGCTATGTCTTAAGTGGACTGGTGGGAGGCTTTGTGCCCCACTGGACTTGCTGGGCTACCAGCTTAGGGGGCTCCCACCTCGTAGCAGCTGCAACACCTGAGTCCACTCAGCTCTCAGGACAGGGACAGGGTGAGAAACTGTTCCAGCTTGGAAATGGGCCTCATCTGTCTGCTCACACCAAGCTGGTCCCCTGCAAGGGACCTGAGAAACAGTCATTCATATGCTTCCAAGGGCGGGAGGGGGACATATCTTAGCAAACACTTGTTGTGCTGTCCTTAGAAGCATCTCATGAGCACTGCAGAGATTGTCCTCCTGGGTGGCTGCGCTCTCCCTGGCCTTAACAGGAAGGGTGTGCAGTGTTTCCAATAGTTACAGGGTGCCCCAAATCAGAATGCTTTCCCTTCTCTTGAAAAAGATGATTGGATCAGGTCTTTCGGTTTCCCAGCTACTTCATGTGTTTGGGAAGTTGGGAAGAAAAAGAGTTTCAAAAGGGTCTCATATCATTCCAACGTTTCCCAAACTCTGTCTCACCATCTTCACAAGTATCATGGCGAGAAGATGGTGTGTGCCCCTGCCTCAGTAGTGATTACTAAACCACTTTTAAGTCTCTGTTCTTCAAAACCATATATAACTTGACTTTGAAAGAGACATATCACCAAATCAAAGGGAGAGTGAGAAAGCAAAAATATTAATAATCAAAGTAAAAACAAAACGATGTCAATGACTTCTAGCTGGACATAGTCACTCTGCATAGAAAGATGTTCTTTCTTTGGTTCAAAAACAAGGACATTGGCACTGTTCAAAGGTTGTTCCAGAGTAGGTCAGGCCAGAGCCTTTTCCCTGGGTCAGTTCAGAAAGATTCCACATTGAGAAGGACTCAGCGCTGCAAGATGCCCTCTTGCTGTGTAGCATCCACAGATTTCTTTCCACCTTCGTTAGCTCCCAAAGATCATTTCTGTTGAAACGGCTATAGGGAACATTTTTGTTTTATTGAAAACCAAAACCCCAAACTGCTTAGTGTAAAAGTCTCATCCACACAGCATGAACAATTAGTGCTATTTAATTACCGACAAAGTCAGGCTTACAAGTTGATTTATGGCCCATGTTCTTAAAGGAAAGCACATTTCTTACAATTAATTTGAGAGAAACAAGGCAGGTGTTTCTGAGAGGACACTGTCCTGGAAGCACGGGCTAAGCTAAGGATCTGGCAGGCCTCAGCACACATCTCCAAGTGCTTCTACGACACTGCTTCCCCCACAATTAGCTGTGCTAATTACCCAAAGAAGATTAGATGTGTTCCTGAGAACAGATTACTGGAGAGAGGGGAAGTGAGAAACCATTCTTACATCTTATTTTAGCCACTGTTAGGTGTCTGGAGTTGCAGGTTCCCGAAAAAGCTTCCACACCGAAGAGTAGAAAAAACTTTGTCTACTGAACTATGCATAATGACAACATAGTTTTAACATTTTAGGCAGCCGCTAAAATTCATCATTCACCTTTTATCTTAAGGATACAGATAGAGAAATCCTCTGAAATGACAAAAAAAAAAAAAAAAAGGAAAAAAGGTATCTGATGATTGCAATTTAGGGAAAAGATTCAATTTAGTTTAGAAAATTATAAAATGCTTGCTTGTAATCAAGAATAAAGACCATTCATTTCTAGCCAATAAATTTGAGAAATCTTTTAAACATAGACTCGGTTTCACACTAAGGGCCCTGGCAGAGCATAGTTCAGGAAGGAACCTGGAGGAGGAATCTGGTGCAGGCCCGTTCAGAGTACAGGGAATGGTGTTGAAAGGAGAAACACCATCATTTAGGTAATGGACAGTGTAGACCAGTGGCCCCAGTGTGTGTGCCATCAATATCACCTGGAACCTGTTAGGATTTTAGAACTTGGGGTCCCCTCCTCCCACACACACACCTGCAGAATCAGCTCTGGGGAGGGGCCCAGCCATCCTATTGGATCAGTCTTTCCAGGTGCTGCTCAGCAGAAACAGTGAAATAGACAAACTTTTAGGTTCTTTGGAGTTTTATCTGTCTGAAATTATATAGGAGAGAGGTATAAAGAAAATAGGCAAAAAGTTTAAGACATAAAAGCAACATTGAAAGGCAGATGTTCAGAAAAGCATGGGATAATGGAGAAATGCACATCTCAAAGACCGTGAACCCAGAGCGAACAGCAGTTTTTCTGATTTTCTTTGAAAGTTTGAAGATCACCTCAAAACTTACAGTGTTGGTATATTTTTGCAACCAGAGGCGTACAGAGTAAAACATCTACTGCTCCCTTAGCCAGATCGTAATGACCCATTTTTACTTACTGAGGTAAACTGATCTCATTTGATTTGGTGATGGTTGGTTTACAATATCGCTTAAAAATTCAGGATGCTTTCCCTTGCTCTGAGTTTTCATCTTGGTTAATTCAAAGATTTCCAGGGAGCAGAGCAGCCCTTGGGCTAAAAATCAGAGGTTGATGCTGCGTGATCTTGGTTGGGGGGTGTCTGAATTAGAGATTCAGGAAGGAGGACTCGAAGAGCCTTGTCTTTTATCCTCTCAAAGCAGTACTGTCTCTCTGCAGATCCTTTCCCCATTCCACAGGCCCGCTGGGCAGCCCAGAGGACATTCTTCCAGGGACGCTAACTTAGGGTTCATTCTCGGGCGGGGTTTAAGGCCCAGCATGACCTCAGGGTAGCCAAGTCAGAGGCTCGCTCAGATCACTGGGCGATACCCGGTGCGGGGAGGGACCCCTCCCCAGCGGTCTGCGCGCTCGCCTACTGGCCAGGAGCGTTATACACCCCCGGGCCTGAGGACCTCCCCTTAACCCGAGGCTTTGAAGGGAAAGGGAGGCCAATGGCCCCCTTGACACCTGTTGGGAGAGTGGGTAGCTGCTCCGGGTTCCTCGGAGCTGGACAGGGGCCCACCCGCGGTCCTGAGGCTCCCTCCCATCCGCACGCGCGGGGAGGGGCGGCAGGAAGACAGGGTGCGGAGCCTACCAGGGGGAGGTGGGATTTACTTTGCGGATTGGGGCTCACAGCTGTCACTCCGAAAGGGTGGGGCTTTTTGAAAACAGACAAATTTTTAAGGCAAAACCCCAAGCCCGCTCCGGGCACTGTGGCGGGCGCCGGCGTTCCGGATGCGGTCCTTGAAGAGCGGGACCACAGCGCCGGCTGGCAGGCGGCAGCTGCGGCGGACGGCCGCGTCCCCGAGCCGCGGGGTCCTCCTCCGCGCACATCTGGCCCGCCTCCCCCGGGCGCAGGGGGGAGCCCCGCGTCTACCGAGCCGGCTGTGCGCTCTGCGCGCGTAGAGCCCCGCGAGCCCGAGCCGGGCCCGGGCCGGCGGGCCGAGGGGGGCGGCCCGGGGAGCTGCCGCACCCGCCAAACTTTGGGCGCAGGAGCGCGCGCGCGAGCGAGCCCCGGGGCGCAGCGGCCCGCCCGGGATGGGGGCAGCGTGCCAGGGCTCCCCGGGTCGCCCCGCGCTCCCGGCTACCCTTCCGGGGGCCTCCGCGCTGCCTCTGCCGGCGCCCCGGGCGCTGCAGCCTGGCCGCCCCGCTGTCGCCAGCGCCAGTTAGCCGCCAGCCGCGTCCACGCCAGCCCCGCGCCCGGAGGCGCCCCTTACTGCACCCCCGGGGCCGCTTTTCGCTTCGGTAAACGGGAAAGGAAATACTCATCGTGGATTAAAAATTAAAAAAAAAATCCTGTTGGTGGTGAAGGGCTGGTGAGGTTTGCCTGCGCGTGTGTCGGACTCCGGAGAGCAACTCAGAAGCCCGCGCATGGTGTTCGCCTCCCAACCCGGCCATGGACTGGCAGGAGGAGGGCGCCGGGCGCCCGGGCTGTTCTGGCCCTTAGCCGGCTGCTCCTTCACCAGCTAGCCCCGCTCCAGCCCTCAGGCCATTGGGACCGACTCTTCTTCGCCTAGACGGCGCCGGGGAGCAGAGGACCTGCGCTCCGGGTCTCCAGGATGTGTGCGTCTGAGATGGGGACGTTGTGGCACCATTGGTCCCCTGTGCTGATCAGCCTGGCCGCCCTGTTTTCCAAAGGTGAGGAGGCCGCCGCCACCGTGGCCTGGGACTAACTTCGCACGGAGTGAGTGTGTGGGAGTGTGTGTAGAAGGGTGGGAGAGACGGCGTGTGTGTGTGTGTGTGGGCGCGTGTGAGTGCGCGCGTGTCTGTGTGAACGCGCGCGCGGGCGCAGCCAAGGACCTCGCTGGCCCTTGGCCGCAAGTGCTTCCCCTGGAGGGCTGGGGTAAGGGGCCCTAGGTGAGACTGTGAAGCAGGAAGGAAAGTAGCTATTTCCAGAAGGCCTTTTAAATTAAGGGAAAGGAGTGTGGAAGACCCCTGAGGAGAAAGGTGGCCTCCTGAGGGTGGGGTGGAGCCAGCTGTCAAGGGAGTTGGTTGAGATGACCAGGAAGATTCCTGGAATTTGGACTTGACTTTCCCTGCTGGTACTGACCTGTTGGAAAATGATTTCCGAGCACCCCTGGAGTATGGGGGTGCTAGTCATTGTTTCACAGGCTGCTAAGATAGGGCAGGGTTAGCTCTGAAACAGTGGGCCTGCACGGGGTCAGCTTTCACCCTCTGCAGCTGTTGTCTGCCAGGTGGGTGCATGTGGAGTTTCAGCTGTGACTGGTGACCAGAGGGCCCCAGCAGGGCCTGACTTGAAGCCCTGAGTAAAGGCAGGAGTTCCCCAATGGGCTCCTCTCCCCTCTGTCAACATCCCTGTCTGTCAGGGGAAGAGCAAGTTTGGACCCCCCTCCTCCCCAAGTAATTCCTTGAAAACAAATTGATTTGCACAGGAGATTATAAAAAGGACCAGCAATGCCTTCTGGTTATTGATCTGGTGTGGTTCCCCCACCAAGCATCAAACACGTCTTTCTTATAGAGAGATATACTGGAAATGAAGTGGAGATTCTCAGAAGTCTTCAACATGTGCTGAAAAAAGCTGGTATACATATTGTTCTGCAAAGCTTTTTAAGTTGAAATCTCTCTTAGAAACTTCAAAGCCAATTATCATGCACAGAATCTTTTAATTACATGTATTTTCTTCCTCTGAGTTCTTCCAGAATCACTGAGGTTGTGCTGCTTTGGATCTGATAATAGATTAAAACAGTTCACTTGTTGGGTTTTTGTGCTGATACATTTTAGGGAGAGGAATTTATATTCATACTACTATCTTTGAAGTGTGGTTGAAATGGGCTCACATCTCCTAATTATGAGTTGGGATAATCCTAAAGGCCAGAGCTTCCAGGATTTATGATGAGACAAGAAACCAAAGAAAAGGCTGATGGATTCAGTGAATCCAAGTCAGGCAGATGTGAGGTTAAAAAAACCCCAAATCTGCAGCCCCAGCTGCTCAGCCAACTTGAATGTTGCCACCAGGCACGCTTTTTTTTTTTATTGGTTGTCACTTGGTTTTATAATCCGTATAGGTGTCTCTGTTTTTATGCTGTAATAACAAGGTTTTATTAAGAAAGGTACAGAATAGCTTTGTAAATATGACATATCTATTGTGTTTTCTCTGTTATATGCGTGGTTCTGCTCCTGACTTCTTTATTAGACTGAGCAGTGTTGAAGAGAACTGCATTTCCCCTGATAGCAGTTGAACTTTTTCAAGTGGAAACAGTGAGAATGTCCTTAAATGAGGTACTCTATGATGTGGAAGCCCATTTTCTAGGTGACCAAATTTCAGCTTGTGAAATGATACTGTGAACACGGCATATGACATACTGTGTGTGTCGAATTTAGAGAACTTGGCCAGATAGTTCCAAAGTGAAGCAATCGGTTACGTGTAGCGACTTTTCTATGGCCGTTAGCAGAGACTGAACACAGGGTAGGTTACTTAGTGATTATTCACAATTTGTCAAAGAATAAGGAAAAAAATTAACACCCCTGATGCCATTAGATTGTGTGAGATGGAACTTCACGGTGCAGGGACAGTTTATAAGTTATGTCACAAAGTTATATTCCCGATGTATTCATATTCCCTCCCTTTTAAGATTCTTTGACTACTTGAAAGTTCCAAGCCAGCCGGAAACCAAGTGTGGACTACAGTTTAAAGGATTTTAATTGGGAGTAAATAATCACACACAATCCAGGGTGCCCAATTTGTTTAGAGCTCATTGAAACTAGTTATCATCAAATATTAAATGATCTGTTTCAGGAAATTATTATTTTTACTGTACTGTATTACTTCAAAGCCATCCTCGAAATGGAACAAAATGGACATTTGAGCACTAGGCTTATATCCTTGTACCTTACTCATGTCTGCATTTCATGAGGGGACAGTGTCTGGTCATAGAACAAACCCACCCTTATTACAGATCTTTTAAAATAATGAAAATATAGTTCTATGGCTTATCCTTCTGTGCCCTTGGGACCTTGGAGCTATGGTATGAAACAAAAAGTTTTACCAGCAACCTTGTCACAGGGTCTCACGCTTTTCAGAAGAATGGCCTTATTATATCAAATTGTCAGAGTGCCTGTGTGTTATGTTTAAGATCTAATCTTTGATGGAAACTTGTCACAGAAACTTGTCACAGGGTATGGCAGGCTGAAGGTGAGTTTTAACATAGTGCTCTTAACCTCACGAGAGGGGCAGGTGTGTGGAGGGCAGGCAGAGAAGAAAAATTAATGAGAAGGAGATTGGAGATGGGCAGGGAGCAAGGTGATTGTTAAATACAAAATGAAGAAGGTTGCCCCATGTGGGTCTCCTGTCACCACCCTCACCTGCAGGTGATATCCCTAGTTATGGTCTCTCATAAATGCTGGTGAGAGGCACCCAGAGACCCCCGGTACTGGGTGAAGAGATGATGCAGCGACATGGTCCCTGCACCGAGGGCAGAGCTGGCTGCCTGCTCTACCTGCTTCCAGCTGAGCACTGGGCTTGCGCATCAAACTTCTGGCCTGGGAGGTCAGCGTGAAGCTTCTGAGCAGCAGAGCACCACACCTAACTCATGACTGTTGTTCTCCAGCAGGCCTGTAGTGCAAAGAGCTGCTGTATATAACGATGCCTTCTCCACAGTCATGGACTTTTCAGGCGAGGAAAACATATCAGGAAGGGAGCAGGTTGGGGTATGTGAGTTTGTCTGTGAGAGGGAAAGGGAGAGGCTGACTTTATTTCTTATCTTCAAACTCTATCAAAGCCAAAAGGTTGAACGATGGAAGGCCACTGAGGTTTGTTCCTCTGAATTAGAGAGTTAAATAAAAAATAGGATGGTATAATTCAACATTTGAGGATCCATTTAATTTAGGTTCATTCTAAAAGTCAAGAAAAAATGAATAAACAACTCAAAAACTCCAAAAATGTGTTGTTGTAGAAGCGTATGCTATTTTGTATTTCTAATTCATCTGTCCATTTACCCATCATCCATTTATTCATCCAGCCATTATGTATCTGTCCATCCATCATTCTATCAGTCAGTCATCCAACCATCCTTCCATCTGTTCATCCATTTATTCATTCATCAGACATCAAAGGCCACAGACTTTCAGTGGACAGAGAACTCTGCAGGAACTATTTCAAGTGTCACGAGGACACAGAGATTGGTACTAAAGGGTCCTTAGACCAAGGATGTTTAGTGGCAATTAGAGTGCCACAGACCATAGCTCTATCACGTTAAGTTATGAACTCAAACATGGCAGTCCCTTATTCATCTACCCTCTTCTTTTTCTCCCCTGGGACCCCTCTTCCCCTCCTCTTTGCTGTTTTATAACCGTAACTGCCTTCTGAGCATCAGTAATGGGCCCACATCATGCTGGCCCAGGGGATGCAGCAGTGAGAGAAAGACCCTTAAACACATGTGAGTCCTGCCTTCATGGGATCTGCAGTTCATCAGGGAGTTAATTATACAAAGGAATCTGAACTTAGTGCTGTAACTTCTGTGCTGGGTCATAGAGCAGCATTTCTGAATGCGGTGATATCGACATTTGACTTAGAGCAGTTGGGAAACCTTCCCCTCATCTGAAAGATGGGCTGGTGTTAATCAGATGGGCAGGGAGGTGGAGCGTGCAAGAAGTGGGTCAGAGGAGGAACTGGAGTGGGAAAGAGCCATGGAGGTCATGGTACTGCATAATGGGAAAAGGTAGAACGTGGCCAGGGAGCCGAGGGCTAGGCAGTGGTCAAACTACAGACGGGTGACAAATCTCTTTCATGGGCTGTGTTGAGGAGATATGTCAGTATTTTGAAAGTACAGGGAGGACAGGGATGAGTTTTAACTTGTACACAGAGCGTGTATACGTTTCCAATGGCTGCTGTAACAAATTGCCACAAATGTGGTGACTTGGGAATTTGTTCCCTCACAGTTCTGCCTGCTGGATGCCCAAGTTCATATTACTGGATTGAAATCAGAGAGTCTTGCAGGGGGTCTTGGGGGGGGCATCCTTCCTTGCCTCTACCAGGTCCTGGTGGCTTGTGGCCCTGTTGTTCCAGTCTCCAAAGCAGGGTCTGCAGACCTCTCTCTGCACTGTCCTCACATGACCTGCTTTTCCAGATGTCTGTGTATAAAACCTCCCACTTCTTCCCTCTTATAAGGATGTGTGATTACATTTTGGGCCCACCCAAATAATCTAGATAAGTCCCTCCCCTTCACTTTTTAAAAATTTCCAAATAAGATAACAAACGTTCACAGGTCCCAGGGATTTGGATGTGAATATCTTTTTGGAGGAGTATGTTTTTCTGCCTTCCACAGGTTGACATTCTAAAACTATTTTCTTTCTCTCTTTTAAATTTAAAGTTCCTCTGGGGGAGACAAATGTGCATTTTTCTCTTTTTGATTTCTCTCCAGTATTTAGAATAGTGCTTTGGATGTTGCAGGGGCTCAATAAAATTTCTAAGTGTGCTTATGAGAGGGTGAGATATGGCCTGAAGAACCTTCACCTGGCAGTGAAACGGCTCGATGCTGTCCTTTTCAGTAATTCAAAGTGCTGCAGGAAATACTTTGGATGATAATAGTATCAGCTAATTTTTTGAGTAATTATTGTATGGCAGGTACTGTGCCAAGTGATTTATAAAGACAATTTTTGTGACTATAGAGATAAGCCCA